AAGTAGCCACAATGGCTAAACAACAAAGTAAAAGAATCAGTGAGAGGCAAAAAGGCATCCTTTAAAAAGCTGAAGTTAAATCCTAGTGAGGAAAATAGAAAGGAGCACAAACTCTGGCAAGTGAAGTGTAAAAAAATATAATTAGGAAGGCCAAAAAGAAATTTGAAGAACAGCTAGCCAAAGCTTTAAAAAGTAACAGAAAAAAAATGTCTTAAGTACATCAGAAGCAGGAAGCTGCTAAACAACCAGTGGGGCCACTGGACGATCGAGATGCTAAAGGAGCACTCAAGGACAATAAGGCCATTGCAGAAAAACTAAATGAATTCTTTGCATCAGTTTTCACACCTGAGGATGTGAGGGAGATTCCCAAACCTGAGCCATTCTTTTTAGGTGACAAATCTGAGGAACTGTCCTTGATTGAGGTGTCAATAGAGGAGGTTTTGGAACAAATTGATAAATAAAATAGTAATAAGTCACCAGGACCAGATGGTATTCATCCAAGAGTTCTGAAGGAACTCAAATGGGAAATTGCAGAACTAATAACTGTGGTATGTAGCCTATCATTTAAATCAACTTCTATACTAAATGACTAGATGATAGCTAATGTGATGCCAATTTTAAAAAGGGCTCCAGAGACGATCACAGCAATTACAGGCCGGTAAGCCTGACTTCAGTATTAGGCAAATTGGTTGAAACTATAGTAAAGAAAAGAATGATCAGACACGTAGATGAACACGATTTGTTGGGGAAGAGTCAATATGATTTTTGTAAAGGGAAATCATGCCTCACCAATCTACTAGAATTCTTTGAGGGAATCAACAAGCATGTGGACAAGGGGGATCCAGTGGATATAGTGTACTTAGATTTTCAGAAAGCCTTTGACAAGGTCCCTCACCAAAGGCTCTTAAGCAAAGTAAGCTGTAATGGGATAAGAGGGAAGGTCCTCTCATGGATTGGCAACTGGTTAAAAGATAGGAAACAAGGGGTAGGAATAAATGGTCGGTTTTCAGAATGGAGAGAGGTAAATAGTGGTGTTCCCCAGGAGTCTGAGTTGGGCCCAGTCCTATTCAACATACTCATAAATGATCTGGAATAAGGGGTAAACAGTGAGGTGGCAAAATTTGCAGATGATACAAAACTACTCAAGACAGTTAAATCCCAGGCAGACTGCAAAGAGCTACAAAAGGATCTCTCAAAACTGGGTAACAGGGCAACAGAATGGCAGATGGAATTCAATGTTGATAAATGCAAAGTCATGCACATTGGAAAACATAAACCCAACTATACATATAAAATGACGGGGTCTAAATTAGCTGTTACCACTCAAGAAAGAGATCTTGGAGTCATTGTGGGTAGCTCTCTGAAAACATCCAGTCGATGTGCAGCGGCAGTCAAAAAAGCGAACAGAATGTTGGGAATCATTAAGAAAGGGATAGATAAGCAGAAAATATCATATTGCCTTTATATAAATGCATGGTATGCCCACATCTTGAATACTGCATGCAGATGTGGTTGCTCCATTTCAAAAAAGATATATTGGAATTGGAAAAGATTCAAAAAAGGGCAACAAAAACGATTAGGGGTATGGAATGACTTCCGTATGAGGAGAGATTAAAAAGACTGGGATTTTGCAGCTTGGAAAAAAGACGACTGAAGCGGGATATGATAGAGGTCCATAAAATCATGACGGGTGTGGAGAAAGTAAATAAGGAAGTGTTATTTACTCCTTATAACACAAGAACTCGGGTCACCAAATGAAATTAATAGGCAGCAGGTTTAAAACAAACAAAAGGAAGTATTTCTTCACACAACCCACAGTCAACCTGTGGAACTCCTTGACAGAGAATACTGTGAAGGCCAAGACTATAACAGGGTTAAAAAAGGAACTGGATAAGCTCATGGAGGATAGGTCCATCAATGGCTATTAGCCAGGATGGGCAGGGATGGTGTCCCTTAGCTTCTGTTTGTCAGAAGCTGGGAATGGGCCACGGGGGATGGATCACTTGCTGATTACCTGTTCTGTTCATTCCCTCTGGGGCACCTGGCATTGGCCACTGTCAGAAGACAGGATACTGGGCTGGATGGACCTTTGATCTGACCCACTATGGCTGTTCTTATGTTCTTAAGCCTTGCAGGAAACCTTAATATGCAACTCATCTATTTTGGAAGAGCCATTTGCCACCATGTGAGCAGCTGACACCTCCATAAGCACCCCTCTCTCCCTCCACACTGACATCATCTCTGTGCTCTCACAGCCTGGCTCCTCAGTGCAAAAACAGCCCACAAAATGGTCATTCAAACACAGGCCTTCCCCAGCTCCACATCCCAGAGGGCCAGTCCCTACCTCTGAGCCAGAAGGCGAGGCCGGCACCTTGGCTGCTGGGGAGGTGGGACTGCTGGTTCTTTCTGGCAAGTCAAACGACAGGTCCCTCCTGGTCAAGTCACGTGGTTTCTTCTTTTTCTCGGCATCGAGGTCCCTGGGGTCGGAGCCTGAATGGTTATCCGCGCGGGTGAGGACTCCGGTCAGGAAGTCAGCTATTTCATCCTACACAGGGGTCAGACGTCTCTTAACAACTAGCCTCCACGGTTTGCCTAGAAGCAGCTTCCAGTTACTGCCCTGCTAGGGTGCAGGGAATTTAGCTTAATGGTCTAAAGAAATAAATACTAAGATTCCAGGAACAGAGCGAACAGCCTGGGCCTTGCTGGATTCTACTCCCCTCAGACCTTTCCAGCTACGCTGCTCAAGACAAGAAGAATTTAGCTAGTTTTAATGTTACTAGGTATTGTGTTAAAGCTTAATCTTGGTGGCTCTCTGGGAACAGGAGGGGAATATGCCGCTCTCCGTACCATGAAAGGAAGAACCACAAACACTTGCTTCCCCAGGCCAGTCAAATGCAGGACTATGGCCCTGATAGCAGCATCCAAAGGGTTAACATGTTAGGACTACTGATTTTACCTTGAGGGTACTTGACAGCTATGCTGTCAATGATTTCACTTGCCCACCCACCCCTGCCCAGTCAATCTAGGCAGCAACACTGGAGCGCGTGCTCATGGAGACGATTGGGCAGTCACGCTATGGAGGGGAAACTGCTCCGAAAGATCTCTCTGCTTGTTACCTGGATGCATCTGTCCACCATGCTCTGGGTCAGGCCTTCCGCCTTCTTTTTGGCTTTGCTTATCCTATTTAAAAAGGTGGGCGAGTCAATAGATGTTCATTCTTCCCCCCTTTCCCTTGCCCCCACCACGCTGTGGCCAACCTTCTTAGCTTGAAAGCCAATAATCAAATGAGGGTTTGCTGTGTTACTGAGATTCCACCAATAGGAAGTAGGGGCTAATTAGCTCGAGGAGTGCTTAACTCAAGGGCTCCATCTGCTGGACACAATGTGCCAAGTAGAGCTGGGTGAAATTCAGATGACAGTGACTAGAAAAGGAGTGAGACTATCACCTGGTGATAAGGGCAGACACCTGGGAGGTGCTCAACTCAAGTTCACATCCCTGCTCCAATGACTATTTATTTAATTTATTTATTTATAACAAGTGGAACAGATTCAACAGGAGAGACTGAGAAAACCCTACACCAGCCTATCCAGTATCCCAGAGGCTAAGGCGCTCTTCTGCAATGTGGGAGACCCAAGTTCAAACCCCTTCTCCCCATGGGGCAGAAGGGGGAATTGAACCTGGACACTCACCCCAGAGAACCGTAACCCCTGGGTTCAAGGTTATAAGGGCTCAGCTGCCCTTCCTCCCCCAGTCTGTGAATCTAGTCCTCCCTGGCTTTTATCAAAATGCCTGAAATCAAAAAAGTTGGATTGAACCAAAACACGTTGCTTTGACACGAACATTTTTCTACTTTTTGATTCAATGAAAATTTCCAAACAAAAAACTGGTTCTGCTTCCACCCGAGACAATTTTTTTTCAATGTTTTGGATTTGCCAGCGAAGCAAAAACTCCATTGTTCATCCAACTCTAATGCTGAGCGCCTGGCGCTCCCATTGGCTGCAACGGGAAATGGCCCGGCAGCTCTGAAATTCAGGCCCAAAGCTTCCTCAGAAGGGCTACATGCACCTTCGCCCTTCAAGCTTCATTTTCAACGCTGCTAGTCGTTCATTTTGCATTTCACGCCCCTCCCCAGTTTTCTGATCATTCCTATTATAGGCTCCTACTTACACGTAACAACTGTCATGACAGCGCCTGCATAAGTTGGCCGCCAGGCCTGATTCTCCTCTCACATTCGTTTTACAGCAGTACAGCTCCGTTGATATCAATGGGGTTACTCAAGATTTACACCAGTGTGATTGGAGCAGGTGGCCCATGGCTTCCTGCCAGTCCCACAGCACCCTTTCTCCGGCTGACCACCTCCCAAAGGAGTGCCCTTTAGGATACTGCAAACTGCCAAAATCCACCTCCAAGAGCAGAGCCAAGAATGACTTGGAAAAGGAAAGCCTACAGAATTCAGGCTCTCTGGCCTTTCGCAAAGGGGATATTTGCTGCACGCAGGACTTTCAACTTGTCAGCGGAAAGGAATGCTGTAAAGCGGCTGCAGTCTGGCACCCCACACGCACCCATCAGCCCCACGTGACGAATGCTCAAAGCCTGTCAGGCCTGGAAAACTGAGTTTGCCATTTGCCCATGGAACAGACAGAGCCTGGATGGCAGGAACAGCACAAGCTTCCCGCAGGCACTGCCCTGCCTGCCTGCCTCCACCTTGATCTGGAAAAGCATGACTTATAGCCACAAAGAGGACAGTACATTCTCTATGGCCCACTCAAGCTCTGACTGCCACAAAGTCACCAATGTGTGCCAACTGTGAAGTGGACATGTGACCACTAAGAGCTGGACCACGTCTTACCAACTCATTCCATAGCTGTTTCGATGGCAGTAAGTTTCTCCTCCCAACCTGGGCCTGATTTAACTTGACTACCCAGGAATAAAAGACTCTTTATTCTGTCAGCCATCCAGTCCCCATCTAATTTCAGAATGAAGTCCTAGAATCCTCTTGCATGGCCAATGGGCCCAACCAGACATTGCTCAATGCTTCTGGAAGACGGCATCCCAACAGCATGGGACTATGTCACAGAGCCATACCTCAGATTGTCATCAGCTCCTCCCACCACCACCAGGCTGTTATCAGCTCGGATTTTCTCTCGGAAATCTTCCATAGCTTCAGTGTTGCACTGCAAAGAATTCTGACCAACCACAAAGAGAACTGGGGTCTTCATGTCCAGAAGGGGGTCATCCACATCCTGCAGGAGCGTGGGACAAACAAAACATTTTAAAACTGAAGGACAGAGGGGCCATTGGGTGATGGAATATGAAGGCCCGGGACTTAACGACTTTTATGGGGCAAGTAAATACATTTATACTGAGCCAGAAACTCAGATGGTTTAAATCGGTGTAGTTCCACTGACTTACACCAGCTGAGACTGACCCCCTATCAAAACAGCCACTCTCGCTGCATTTTCCCCTGTCACTGCTGTAGCTACCCAAATGCAATGCTAGATCGACTAACATGCAATAGTAAGTCGCAGGCCTGTACCAAGCAGTCTCACGACTTTCCAGGTTATGCCCCAAAGGGGATTTTCCCAGTGGGAAAATGTGGCCCTGAACAAGGCTTTGGTACAGAACTGTCCCCTGTATGGAACTCCCTGCCTTCTATATGGAGGCAATACAGTGCCTGGGCCTACTCTTCTCACACAGCCCCCAAAGCTAGTCACCTGAGTGGCACCAGGGTCCCAAGGTCACACCTGAATCAGTCTCAGACAGGCCAGCTAACAAAGGAGCACATCAGGCCACCAGATAAGTCTGCCTAAGTCATTCTTGTTGCTGGGTGCAAAAAAAGATGAGATCAACAACTGTTTCTGGAGTGAGGCCTAGGAGAGGCTCTAGAGATGTGTTACAGGCACACACCACTGCCGTCACACCAAGGATGCAGTCAAACCCTTGAGCTCCTTCCCTCCCAGACTGCTCCACCATGATTCACTGCCCAAAGCCCGGATTGTTGGCTCTCCATCACCCCAAACACTAGATGGGCTCAGACACACTTGAAAATACTTGCAGGTGAAGAACCAAACTTCAGACCCTTGCTCTTCTGGCTGGACTTTAAAGCAAGTTCACAGGTCCAGTGGCCTGGTTAACTAACCAATCCCAACTTCTGAACTCTGACCCCTGCTTTGGGCTTACCCCTCTGGGCCCATCCACTGTGAGCAGAGGGAATCCAAGGCACACAACTGCGGTGACATACTCCATCACTGAGACCTAGAGAGACCAGCAAGACAGTATCATTACCCAGAGCTCTCCCAGAACAATCCAGCTCAGCGTCAACGTAGTTCGCAGAGCCCTCGCTGCTGGGCTCCCGCCATGGCACACCCCTGGCTTTGACAATACCTCCTTCTAGCAAAGATCTCAAACTCCTCATTTGCCTGTGCCCAAAAAGATGGAGGCTGCAATACAGGATCTCAGGATGGGAGGGAAAGGAGAGAAGCCCTTTCAGGGTTGGGCTAAGATCCCTCTAAGCTGCGTGGCCACGCAGCTGTCTATTAAGCCCTGCGCAAGGGCTTAGGGCTGCGGTGGGGAGAGATGCCTCTCCCCCAGCACAGAGCTGCCACGGCCAGGGGAGAGGTATCCCTCCCCGCCAGCCCCAGCGTGGACCTGCTCCAGACTTGCCATGGCCGGGGGAGAGAAGCCCGTCCCTTGGCCCAGCGCAGGCCCGCCGGAGCTGCTGCAGCCAGGGAGAGGCGCCTCTCCCCCTGCCCCGAGCTGCTGCAGCGAGAGTGCTGGGGGGAGTCCTCTCTCCCCACCTCAGCCTGCACTCCCAAACCCCTCATCCCTGGCCCCATCCCAGAGGCCACACCCCAAACCCCTCATTCCCAGCCCCACCCCAAAACCCGCATCCCAACCCTCTGCCCTAGCCCTGATGTGGTGTCATACATCACCTCCATATTGGTGCACATAACAAAATTCATTCCGCACATGGACGTAAAAAATGAGAGGGAACACTGAGGCTGTGTACTGACAACAGGCAGACCACCAGTCAAGGACAGACTTTTAATCATAGAGTCACCCATAATCCTAGGAACAGATTACTCCAAACATCAGCTCAGCATGAAGCTGGGAATCTAGGAATACAAGCCTTTACTTGGTGTGATTGCCAAATAGCAAGCTTCTTTCTATCACCCTGAAGTTAGATTCTTCCTAAGCTGTCTCTCCCTCCCTACGACCTGGATCTCCAAGCAGCTCCACCCCACCCCCCGTCATGCCACCCTCAGGTTTCACGCTCTGGGCCTGTATTATTGCTTGGAGGACAGAATATTCTCCTCCCAAAAGCGGCTTCCTCTTTTCATCTCAATTTCTGCACTAAGCCACCTCCTCCTGGTGGAGGAGCCCTCTAATCTCTCTACCCGATGAAACATGCAGGCTAGACAGGGTTTGCTACCTAGCTGCCCAGGGTTAGGAGGAGGGAGGTCAGATGTGTGGAAGTTACACAACAGGAATTGCACAGAAGCGCCATAATCCCTCCAGGAAGTTTGTTCAACCCTTAGCGTGTGTGCATGGGCTGTGATTTTAACTTTATACACAGTGCAGTAGAATCACCGAGTTACGAACCCCTTGAGAATGGGATGTTCGTAACACTGAAAAGTTCATGACACTGCACATAACGTTATGGGTGTTCTTTCAAAAGTTTACAGTTGACCACTGACTTAATGCAGCTTTGAAACTTTACCATGCCGAATAAAAATGCTGCTTTTAACAATCTTAATTTAAATGAAACAAGCACAGGAACAGGTTCCTTACCTTGTCAAATCTTTTGTTTTAAAAAAACCCTTTCCCTTTAGTTTTTTAGTTTATGTTTAACACAGCACTGTACTGGCTTTTTTGTGTCTGTGCTGCTGCCTGGTTGTGTACCTCCAGTTCCAAATGAGGTATGTGGTTGACCGGTCAGTTCATAACTCTGAGGCTCTACTGTACTTTACCCCACCCCCTTCTTGGTATTGTAGTGCTCATGCGGAGATTGCAAGAGGAAGGGAAAGCACAGTTATTCTTCTCCCTTGCCTGTGCTCCTGGAATACAGAACCTCCCTTGAAGACACCGAGCCTGATTCCCATAGCCCACTTTTGCCCGGATGTAAGTGCAAACTGAACTCCAAGGGGCGGTACAAGAGGGCAGATTCAGGCCATCTGCTTCAATGAGTGCTTCATGTTCTAGAAGAGAAGTGGGTCCTTTTAACTCCAATACCCTGCCAGAGTGACATATCTGGAACAGTCCCATATACTCACTGGGCTGCAACCATGTATCAAACCCCTACACTGGCATCTCCAACCCCACTCTTACCCATTGCCCTAGTTTGCCTTATCCAGTTCCCCACCGGCCACATCCATCCCAACTGCCACTAATCAACTTAACTTGCTCATCACCACTTGAACATTCAGTAACACGGAGGGGGGAGGCAGGTGATGGGCCACACAAGTGCCTTTGGTCTGGTAATACAAGAGCCAGGGAATATCAGGGTTCCTCGCTGTTTTATAAGTAGCTTGGATAAACCTGATGGCTGCTCTGTTCAGTTACCACCCATGCCCAATCCAGCAAGGGGCCAAGCGCCAGGAGGGCACGTGGGAATCAGAGCCAATCCAGGTGACTTTTATTTAAGAGGTACATTGTAAAATGGCCTCTGATAGGATGCAAGACAAGAAGTTACTTACATGACAGGCCACCAAGGCTCCTGTGTTCCACCCAATCAGGATGATCGGCTTGTGAGTGAAATGGTTGTGAATCTGGCCGAGAAAGAAGAGGGAATGAGAGGAAAGGCAGCAGAACAGTGCAAGCACAAAGAAGGTCATGGGTGTTAGTGGCATACGGTGCAGGCCCACCTAGGCTGCACACACACTTACCTCCAGCACTTTGCCTCTGACTGCACCAATCATGTGTTCAAGACACTGCAACACTCCCACCCCGCTACCATTATTCAGCAGGTGGGTGGCAACAGGGATCACCTGGAACACAAGCCGCAAAGAGAGCACTGTATAAATCATAGCAGTTCCACTGTGGAGCAGCATGTCCTGATGGCCATTCACAGGGACACACCCACTGGGGTGAACACACAGAGTCAGGACTCAGGGGTTTACTGTCATTCCCCGACCAACCCACCCCTCCTGCTACTGGCTTTCCTCCTATAGTGCTGATGTAGTCAATGCATAAGGAAGGCTTGGAGCAGCACTTCTCCCAGGCAGAAGACAGGCTACCAGACACCAAATAACGCCTTTCCCCTGACCTGTTTATACTGGAGAATCCCAGCCACACGCTCTTCAATCCACTCAATTGGGCAATCCCTGAAGCAGAATCATGTGCTAGGACAGTAGGTCTCCTGCTATGGCCCATGGCAGCAGAGGTATGGAGAGCCCCTCCTGGAAGACCAAGCAGTGCAGGTCTGAGGGGAACAGCTCCATGGGAAACCTCTCTGCTGAAGTGATCAGCATAATGAAGCTGTTGGGCTGTTTAACAGGAGTTGCAGGATCACACTGCCCCTAAATGCCCCGGAAGAGCTGCTAGTATGAACGACAGCCCCTCCCTTCAAAAACATGCCGAGTTACAAACCTTTCCCAGGCAAGAGAGCTGCGATTGCCAGAACCGATGCCGGCGAGAGGTGGGGAACATAGAACTGGAAGGTCCGGAAGATGCAATCAGGATGAGAGGAGAACCAGGTAACTTGTTCTACAAAATTCACCACAATAGAAAGATAAGGCAAGCAGCTTCCTTTCCCTGAGACCTGCCCGCTCCCTAGCATCCATGATCCCTAGGATAAGCCTGCGACGCGTACCAGTCAACCCACATCCAACCAATCCTCCCCCAGCTGCTCTGAGCAAAGGACTCGGATATCTGCAACAGCACAGGACACACAGAGGAGTTGGTCAGGCTGAGCTACTGAAAAGCTGTGTGCAAGTTAAGATTGCAGATCATTTGAACCAGAGCTGCTACAAAGCCCAAACATGCACTCGGGCACCCTCTGCCACAGGTGCGAGAACATGACATGGCCCAAAGTACTTAAGAGCACCAGTGATGCTCTCGGCACAACCCTTGCTAACAATCAAAGACAGCTATGGACGATCGACAAAGGACGAGCCAAGCCCAGGCCTCCTAGAACAGGAGCTAAATAGCATCCCCAGGGCACAGACTGAATGGAAAACTAGAGACCCTGCCTTGCTCATCCTGGGAGCAGGTGTCACTGGAAGAGGCCTTCTTGGGATACTAGGACGGTGCTGCAACCCAATACAATACTCTCATCCACTGACTCCGACACTGTTACACAACACACACACGGCACGGAATGACAGTATCAGACTAGGAAGGCCGCAGAGAGAGAAAAGGCAGCATGGATTCCTGGAAAGACTGGGTCTGAAGGAGAAGAGGGCACTTTGAAGACAGGAGGTACTGGGAGTAGAGACACCATGACAGAGATCATGATGTCGAGCATACAAGAGATACCTGGACGGAGAAACACAGAGAGAGGCCTGGGGAGAGCGAACAGATTCAGTCACCAACCAGACACTGAGCTGAGCCCCTCCCTCCCTGCAAGCCCAGGGATGTACTCACAGGTTTATTATGTGACAAGACACCCACAGCTGGGTCCCATGGTCTCTTCAGGAGGAGGGAGAGAGCCTCAGCCCCTGCTGCCCCTGTCTTTGTTGTGGACGAGAGCAGCATCCTATCAATCAGGGTGGGGATCTGAAACCAAAGACCAGACTATGGCTGAAGAAACTTATTAAGCACACACCTGATATCCTATGGCATCTTCCTTCAGAACTGATTTCACTGGGCACTTCAATGTGTATACCAGAGCATGGGAAATTCAGTTAGCTTCTCCTCAGCAACAGGAGAAAGCACACCTGGCACTCCCCCTCCCACACACACTATGGGGTACGAGTCAAGGGGCTAGTACTTGGGTTTTGCATTGCCCTGGAGGAGACCCAGAGCAGCACAGCTCGGAGTGCACAGCTCAGGAGGAGATATTGTCAGACACAGGTCCAGCCAAGTTGCCCTTTGGGGAATACTTGCTCACAGAGCATGACTGATGGACTACGGAGTTTGCATTTTCGCACATCGAGGAACTTGCTGACTCAGGGCACTGGAATTTAGTTGGAGAAAACGAGACCTTTAGAGCACTGAAATGGACCAGTAAATGTTCCTTCCTCAGGGCACTAGGTAAGGACAACACATCAGTGAATACGTGCCACCAGCGATTCCAATACCTTTTCTTAGCAGAGACTCATTCCTAAGATACTGCATGAGCACCAAGAAGTGTCAACCCACCCAAAGGGAGAGTCTGTATTTGATATAGCTGCACGCTCTTGTCTCAATGTGCGACCTTCATCTCCAAACAGCTCCACTGGCTCTCCTTCATTGCAAGAGGCAGCTTAATAAATGACCTCTTTGTTGTTAAAACCCTGAATGCACTTCTCCAGCCTCCTGACCAGACCTTGGCTCATTTCTTCCCTCTCTGCTTCCTCCACTTAATTACCACTGAGCTCTCCTTTAATCCCTTCACACCAGCGCATCGCTGCTGACACGAAAGCCTTCTCCCCTTTGCACCTCCTGCCATCCGTTGGAACAGTCTCCCTCTACTTCACTGACTCTCCATTTTAGCAACTGCTGTCAATTAATCGCAGTTACCCCAAGCGATTAACGCAAAACCAATTAACTAGCTTAAAAAATCCGTCATCGTTAATCGCAGTTTTATTCGCACTTAAACACTAATAGAATACCAATTGAAATGTATTATAAATATTTTGGATGTTTTTCTATATTTTCAAATATATTGATTTCAATTACAACACAGAATGCAAAGTGCTCACTTTATATTATGTTTGATTAAAAATATTTGCACTGTAAGAACGATAAGAGAAATAGTTTTGGGTTCACCTTATACAAGTTCTGTAGTGCAAGCTCTAGCGTTCAATTTGCACATGTAGAATTTTTTTTTTTTTTTTTACATAGCTGCACTCAAAAACAAAACAATGTAAAAACTTTAGAGTACAAGTGTGCCACTCAGTTCTACTTCTTGTTCAGCCAATCGCTCAGACAAACAAGTATGTTTACATTTACAGGAGATAATGCTGCCCGCTTCTTAGTTACATCACCTGAAAGTGAGAACAGGCGTTCATATGGCACTGCCGTAGTTGGGGTTGCAAGGTATTGACGTGCCAGATATGCTAAGCCCGGGGTTCTCAAACTTCATTGCACCGCGACCCCCTTCTGACAACAAAAATTACTACGCGACCCCAGGAGAGGGGGACTGAAACCTGAGCCCGCCCGAGTCCCATCGCCCCAGGTGGAGGGCCAAAGCCAAAGGGCTTCAGCCCTGGCAGGGGGCCTGTAACCTGAGCCTTTGGGCTTCAGCCCTAGGCCCCAGTAAATCTAAACCAGCCCTGGTGACCCCATTAAAACCAGGTCACAACCCACTTTGGGGTCCCGACCCAGTTTGAGAACCGCTGTGCTAAGCATTTCTATGCCCTTCATGCTTTGACTTGTAGATCGCACTCTCTTTTATCTGTTTCACAGTGCAAATATTTCTAATCAAAAATAACAATTAGGGCTGTCAATCAATCACAGTTAACGCATACAATTAATTCAAAACAAATTAACGCTTTTTTTTTTTTTAAACGAATGTTAACCACACACCAGGGCCATCCTCAGGGGGGCGCCGCTGCGTGCCTCCGGGGCAGGGGTACCCCTCCTACTGCCGCCCCGCTCCATTGCTGTTCCCACCTCCATGGAGCCCCTGGCCAAGCTGCTCCAGACCGGGAGCCTGCCTCCTGTGTGCTGCACAGAGCAGTGGCGGGGAGGCAGCAGAGGAGCTGATGTCTGGGTGTCCCCCCTCCACACACCCCCCATGTGCCCAGTCCCCGCTGAGCTGGGGAACAGGGGAAGCCTGTCTGCTGCTCCCGGCTCAGCAGTGAGTGCTGGAGACAGCAGCTGCTGCTGACTGAAAAAGCGTTCAGGCTCCTGAGCGCTCTGCTTAAAGAGACAGTGACACACACACACACACACACACACCACTCCCCCCCCAACACCAAAAATAGTTAAATAAGTGATATTCTATTATTGCTTAACAGTGCGATTAAAACTGTGATTAATCGCAACTGTGTTTTTAAATCATTTGATGGCCCTCATCTTAGCTGATCTCTCGGCTGTAAATGTCTTTCTCCTACTTTCTCGTTCTTCTGCAGCGCTAATATTTATTGTATTTAGCCATCTGGGGAGTTAGTTTGTAGGACGGATGCTATGCAAAAGTACAGCTGTAGTGTACCGATTCACCCTGGCTTCGTGGGATGGGAACATTGTACTGAAAGTGCTTAGCCAAACAAATAAAATACACAATTCTACTTAAATTGAGAGTAAAAGATCAATTAACGAAGTTTGGTCTAGACTCATTTTAATAATAAACAACATTCCTGTAGTACCTTTCCTAAGAGTCTTCTGTTTGCCAATAACATTTAACTGTGGCATGTGCCTCTTGCATACAAACCACAAATAAAGGGTACTGAATACTACTACTACTACCACCATCACCCCTACCTAGCTCTGAACTCACGATTTTCAATCCATAGATATAAAGCACTTCCCAAACTAGCTCAGTATCATTACTCCCATTTTATCTATGGAGAAATTGAGGCACAGAGGTGTGAGGTGACTTGCCCAAGGATACCCAGCAGACCAGTGGCAGAGCCCAGGTCCCCTGAGTCCTAGCACAGCACCTCCTAAGTCCCCTGTATTTCTCTGAATCACTTCAATAAAAGTTTAGAAACTAATATGTTGCCCGTCTACAATAACTCTCGTCCCAGGAGCTCCATGGGCTTTACAAACTTAATTGTTTGTCAATTGTTTACAACCTCCCTGTAAAGTATTAGCCCTCTTTTACAAATCTATCTATCTAAGATAACTGGGTGCCCCTCATGCTAAGCTGTATTTATTCTCCCAACCCCTCTTATGGCAGGGCAGAGCCGTTATCCCCATAGTACAGAGGGAAACTGAGGCACACAGAAGCTAAGGGATTTGCCCGGGTTACACAGGAAGCCTGTGTCAGAGCGAGGAGCTGACCCAGCCTCTCCCAAGTCCCAGGCTAGTGGCCTCTCCTTTCCTCACTCTCTTGATAGGGCAACCAAGACAGAGAGGCTAAGTGACATGCTGAAGATCACCCACTACTGCCACAGAAAAACCAGGAGTCCTCCCTCCTAATCCTCAAGGCAAAAGCTCCCCCAAGCTAGTGCAGTGGGGAAAAGGGAAGAAGAACAGGGGCAAAGAGGCTACTTTTCCCCCAGTCGCCCAGAAAGGAGATCAATGTCCCATCAGCTTCCCTTGAATGAACTGTTTGAAGAGAAAGTGGTATTAAGTGAAAGCAAAGTACATTCCAGAACTCATTGTGTTTATCACCTTTCCCTTAAGTGTCTGCAAAGCATCCAGGTAAGCAGCCAACATAGGTAAACTGAGCGTCTCCACCAGCGTGGTGTGAAGCCATTGGATCAGCTTGGTGTCCCAGTTCACACTGGCCAGAGCTTGGCGGACCCGCCGGGCGCATTTGTCCACTGCTATCCTCCTCAGCACTGGCTCATTGCAAGCCTAAAAACAAGGGAAGCAGACCACCTGGGCATAAGGAAAGTGAGTGTGCCAGGACCATACAAAATCCACCAGGGCAAAATTTGCTGCTACAGCCTCTGTTCCTCTGGCGAGTGAGCATGGGCCAATCCTTCTCCCACCGAAGACCACATTCTAGTCCATATCAAAGCCATAAACCTGCTCATGGAGGAGGTTGTAAGAGCCGAGGAGCCAGACTGTCCTACATGTTTCATCTCCACTGCCAGGAAGGATTGGGTGCATAAGGAGGCAATGCAGCTGCTGCAGCTTGAAGGAGAGGGGATGGGGGAAGAAAGATCTTACCCCTTCATTGGCCAAGCGGGCCAGCCTGTCAGATTGCAGGGCTTTAAGGATCTTATTAAATAGCTTGTTCTGGGCCATCGTCCAACCCGACCTGAAAGGAAAACCAAGAGAGTAGTTTAGACAGGATATAAAGGGTTTACATTTTTTTACTCCTATCTCTTAAAACAACGCAGGTAAGTAAGACAGTGCAGTTGATCTATCAGCTTTTAGCACCCAGGAGTTAATGGCTCCCAGTCATGTGCTCAGATCCCATGTCTCACAATAAATAATCCTTGTCTCTAAACTGTATTATGGTTTTGGCTACATATATGAGCTGGGCAATGCAGACTGAGAAAATACCATTCACCTTACATGAAAGCGACCCGTGCATCTATCATCAGAGGGGCCTGAATGTCCAGATAGTCACGCTCAAGTCTTGTGGATGATCAGAAGTGCCACCTTTCTCTTTACAGGCAGATTTCCCTCGGTTTGCAAGGAGGATCTCACTCATGACCTCAGCGCTGTGGGCAAGTCAGTGGTAAGCCAGGAACACGCTAGGGCTATGTCTCCACTACACAGCCTATGTCAGCATAGCCCCAAGGGCATACACAGCAGAAGGAGGTTTTCTGCTGGCCCAGGAACACCACCTCCCCAAATGACATTAGCCATGATAACAGAAGCCCTCTGCCACTGGCATAGCTGAGTTTCCACTGGGGTATTATTGGCATAGTTATGTCACCAGTGAGTTAGTTTGTTTCACACCCCTAACCAACCTAGACCTGGGACTCAGAAGACCTGAATTCAATTCTCAGCTCTGTCACAGACTTCCTGTGTGATCTTGGCCAACTCACATGCTATGCCCCAGCTCCTCTGTCTCACAAAGGTGTCAAGAGGCACTCAGATATTACACAACAGGGGACAAAAGCCCACAGATAGATGGGTGACCTGCATTCTAGCTGATTTCTAACCCCATTCCTTAGACAAAAGATCACCTTTCCTTCCTAATAAACAAAGCACTCAGACATAAAAAGCATTTACAAACAATGTTTTAAGAAGAAACACAGTTACGAGCTCCAGACTGCAGTCCACAATACACATGCAGATGCGAAATTGATGTACAGTATCTTACACAGAACAGAAGAGTGCCTGCTTCAGACTACAGACAGTCTTCAGAAGTTCTGAAGAGAAAGGCCTCTGTAAAGGAGACTGATGGCTAGCACATATAGAGAGGCAACTGAAAGCTCTTCCTAGGAATATTTTGCTTGATTGAAGACTGACTGAGGAAAAAAGGGAAGGGAGCTTGGACCAATGTGAACTCTCATGCAAGTGAGAAACAAGCAGTATCTGATCCAGTTGTACTTGTATGCAAAATTCAGGGCAAGTGTGATACTTGAAGTTTAGAAAGCCACAAGAATTAACAAGGCTTACTGGGGGGGCGGGGGAAGGGGGAGGGAGGAGGAGGACAGAAAATCCATTTATTAAGACTGGTAACTAAAGCCCCAGGAAGTGGCTAGCCTATGAGCAACTGCAGCCTTTCTACAGATGTCGACTTCAGAGGCTCATATGTCGTTGTAAAATTAACAGCTGGATAACACATTCCTTTGAACATCTGTGCAATTAAATAAGTGAAAGTTCCACAGTTTATAAAGGAACTGAAGTCTCAAATTACTGGGAATTCTGGGAAATATATTTCTAGAAATCTGAACTTAATAAGATTAAATAAATAAAGCCTAGAAGGATGTGAAAAGCCACCTAAAGAGGAACAGTGCATGTCTAGACACATTAAAACAAATCAAAAAACCAAACCAAGGCCCTCATCCTGCAAAAAACTCACTGCCAATCACTGCATATACACAATCCCAATGCAAAAGTGAGAAAAGGCCTGCTGTCCAATGCATATTACAGAATAAACTCTTTAACCACAGCCTAGGTCTGTGATCTACCCATCTTGTATCGCACAAGACAACATTACAGAAAAGTCATTGGTTTTAAGTGAGAATGCGAGTCAGCTTCATGTCTGCAAATAAATAATGCTTTGTCCTTTTATAGCTTTTTTTGCATCAGGACCTCAAAACACTCTACAAACATTAATTCACCCAGGCAAGCATAGAACCCAGAAAAACAACAAGGAGTCCGATGGCCCCTTAAAGACTAACAGATTTATTTGGGCATAAGCTTTCGTGGGTAAAAAACCCACTTCTTCATTTTACCCATGAAAGCTTATGCCCAAAAAAATCTTTAAGGTGTCATCGGACTCCTTGTTGTTTTTGTGGATACAGACTAACACGGCTACCTCCTGATATAGAACCCAGAGACATCATGGACCAGTGGATAGGGCATGGACAGAGTCAGGAGACTTGGATTCTCTTCCTAGCTCTGCCACTGACATGCTATGGGAACCTGGGCAAGTCATTTCACCTCTGCCTCAGTTTCCCCTCCCACCCTTTGTATTGACTGTAGATTTCTTGGGGTAGGGACCCTCTCTTATCTGTATGCACAGTGCCTGGCACTGTGAAGTCCCAACCTCTGCTGAGGCTCTCTACGCTAGTGAAATACAACCAACAAGAGGATTCCTGAATCCCAATCTTCTGCTGTGACCACTAGATCGCTGCCTCTACGTACTACCATTTCCATCACCCTATACCATAACCTACTGACTGCTATACTTACCTACATGCCTCCAGCTTTCATCCAGGACACACCACACGAACCATTGTCTACAGCCAAGCTCTACGATACAACCACATTTGCTCCAATCCCTCAGACAGAGACAAACACCTACGAGATCTCTATCAAGCATTCTTAAAACTACAATACCCACCTGCTGAAGTGAGGAAACAGACTGACAGAGCCAGAAGAGTATCCAGAAGTCACCTACTACAGGACAGGCCCAACAAAGAAAGTAACAGAACGCCACTAACCGTCACCTTCAGCCCCCAACGAAAACCACTCCAGCGCATCAAGGATCTACAAACCTATCCTGAAAGATGATCCCTCACTCTCACAGACCTTGGGAGACAGACCAGTCCTCGCTTACAGACAGCCCCCCAACCTGAAGCAAATACTCATCAGCAACTGCACACCATACAACATAAACACTAACCCAGGAACCTATCCTTGCAACAAAGCCCAATGCCAACTCTGTCCACATATCTATTCAAGTGACACCATCATAGGACCTAATCACATCAGCCATGCCATCAGGAGCTCATTCACCTGCACATCTACCAACGTGATCTATGCCAGCATGTGCCAGCAATGCCCCTCTGCCATGTACAGTGGCCAAACTGGACAGTCTCTACGCAAAAGAATAAATGGACACAAATATAATATCAGGAATCGTAACATTCAAAAACCAGTGGGAGAACACTTCAGTCTCTCTAACCACTCAGTGAAAGACCTGAAGGTGGCAATTTTGCAACAAAAAAAACTTCAAAAACAGACTCCAGAGAGAGACTGCTGAACTTGAATTAATACGTAAATTAGATACAATTAACTTAGGTTTGAACAGAGACTGGGAATGGTTGGGTCATTACACTAATTGAATCTATTTCCTCATCTTAAAGTATGTTAAAATATCCTCACACCTTCTATGGGTCATCTCAATTATCACTTCAAAGGTTTTTTTCTCTCTCCTGCTGATGATAGCTCATCTCAATTGATTGGCCTCTTACAGTTGCTACGGCTACTCCCATCTTTTCACGTTCTCTGTATGTATAAATATCATCTTTCGTGTGTTCCATTCTATGCATCTGATGAAGTGGGCTGTAGCCCACAAAAGCTTATGCTCAAATAAATGTGTTAGTCTCTAAGGTGCCACAAGGACTCCTGTTCTTTTTGCGGATACAGACTAACACGGCTGCTACTCTGAAACCTGTCATTTCCACGTTACTTACTTTATTCCTCTTCCCAGCTAACAGCCTCTCAGTAAGAACTGCAGCACAAATACCCCCAACAGCATCCCAGCCATGTTACCTGTTCATGTGCTCCTCCCAGTCATCAGGTGGAGGAGGGGCATCGGCATCCGTACGGGCAAAGATGACGTGGCGCTCACACTCGTTCATCACACTGCGCGCTTTCTGGTTGTCGTAGAGCGGGACAGGCGTGGGTGTGACGGTTTCCACATCGATGGGGATATCCACCTCACTGAAAGGAGAGCTGGGATTTCAGAGAACAGGACCCTGCCCTATCACAGCAGCCTTAGAGCAGCAGGTTTCTCAACACAAAACAGGAACTGGAAACACACTGCACTGAGGTGCCACAGGACCCTCTGTTGCTTTTTACAGATTCAGACTAACACGGCTACCCCTCTGATACTTGACACTGCACTGAGTTACAGGTACCTGCCTGGGCAAGATGGAACAGAGACAGCACACCTGTGCCTACCTGTCTGAAAGCATAAGGCTCCTTCAAGTTTATTTCATCCTTCGTCTCACACAAGCTCCAAATCAGTATCTGACCATGGCTGAGACACAGCCTTTGAAGCTGCTGCCACTGGAGCAGAAGATGGAACCGTGCTGTTTTTCATTGTATTTGTAACCGTATTCTGCACCTGAAACCTCTGTCTTGGGGCCAGGCTACGCTACAAAATGAAATGTCATCTAACAACATGATTGTCTCCTGACAAGGTTACTTGCAATTTGTAGTGCTGATAAGCCCTGAATCAGGTTTTAACCATGTGTGGGCCTGACTGTTATAAAAAGGCAGCCAGTTGCGAACCAGCTGAGCGGCGAACAGCGGAGGCTAATAGAGGGAGTTTGCCTGCGGAGAGCCCACTGAGGCTTTCATCTTGCGGGCTTCTGTGAGTAGTTACTGCAACAGCTGAGGAAGCTCTTAGAGGGAAGGTAATATGGACAGTGAGCGATCAGCTGTTGTGACCTGCACAGGATGTGCCATGTTTGTCTTTCTTCCATAGGACAGAAGCGACTTTCTCTGTACAAAGTGCAAGCTGGTCTCCATATTGGAAGAGAAGGTTCAAGGTCTGGAGAAACAAGTATCAACCCTGCATTGCATAAGAGAAAATGAAGATTTCCTGGACAGACATCAGGATATGCTTCTACGGGCACAACATTCTGAAGAATCACAGCAGGCTGCGCAGCGGGGACAGAAGGATGGTGAAGAAAATTGGCAGCATGTGACCTCCAGAAGAAGAAAGAGGAGTATCCATGTACCAGCAATGCAGATACAGGTGAGCAACCATTATCATGTTCTCTCCACAGATACTAATGCGGAGAGTGGACTAGATGATACATCTGAGGGAAGGGAGCAGAAGGAGACTCCACCGATTGGAAGGCATGAGATGCACTGTCCTAGGGATGGGGGTTCCACGACCACTGCTCCCAAGAGAAGGAGGCGGGTGGTGGTGGTCAGGGACTCCCTCCTAAGGGGGACTGAGTCATCTGCCGTCCCGACCGGGAAAACCGAGATGTGTGCTGCTGGCCAGGAGCTAGGATTCATGATGTGACAGAGAGACTGCCAAAACTCATCAAGATCTCAGCTCGCTACCCCTTTCTGCTTCTCCACGTGGGCACCAATGATACTGCCTAGAATGACCTTGAGCGGATCACTGCAGACTATGTGGCTCCGGAAAGAAGGATAAAGGAGTTTGAGGCACAAGTGGTGTTCTTGTCCATCCTCCCTGTGGAAGGAAAAGGCCCGGGTAGAGACCATCGAATCGTGGAAGTCAATGAATGGCTACGCAGGTGGTGTCGGAGAGAAGGTTTTGGATTCTTTGACCATTGGATGATGTTCCAAGAAGAAGGATTGCGAGGAAGAGATGGGCTCCACCTAATGAAGAGAGGGAAGAGCATCTTTGCAAGCAGCCTGGCTAACCTAGTGAGGAGGGCTTTAAACTAGGTTCACCCGGGGGAAGGAGACCAAAGCCCTAAGTGGGGAAGTGGGATACCAGGAGGAAGCACGAGCAGGAGAGCGCAAGAGGGGAGGACTCCTGCCTCATACTGAGAAAGCAGGACGATCAGCGAGTCATTTTAAGTGCCTATACCCAAATGCAAGAAGACTGGGAAACAAGCAGGGAGAACTGGAAGTCCTGGCACAGTCAAGAAATTATGATGTGATTGGAATAACAGAGACTTGGTGGGATAACTCACATGACTGGAGTATTGTCATGGATGGATGTAAACTGTTCAGGAAGGACAGGCAGGGCAGAAAAGGTGGGAGAGTTGCATTGTATGTAAGAGAGCAGTCTGACTGCTCAGAGCTCCGGTATGAAACTGCAGAAAAACCTGAGAGTCTCTGATTTAAGTTTAGAAATGTGAGCAACAAGAGTGATGTCGTGGTGGGAGTCTGCTATAGACCACCAGACCAGGGGGATGAGGTGGACGAGGCTTTCTTCAGGCAACTAACAGAAGTTACTAGATCACAGGCCCTGGTTCTCATGGGGGACTTCAATCACCCTGATATCTGCTGAGAGAGCAATACAGCAGTGCACAGACAATCCAGGAAGTTTTTGGAAAGTGTAGGGGACAATTTCCTGGTGCAAGTGCTGGAGGAACCAACTAGGGGCAGAGCTCTTCTTGACCTGCTGCTCACAAACAGGGAAGAATTAGTAGGGGAAGCAAAAGTGGATGGGAACCTCAGAGGCAGTGACCATGAGATGGTCAAGTTCAGGATCCTGACACAAGGAAGAAAGGAATGCAGAAGAATACAGATCCTGGACTTCAGAAAAGCAGACTGACTCCCTCAGGGAACTGATGGGCAGGATCCCCTGGGAGAATAACATGAGGGGGAAAGGAGTCCAGGAGAGCTGGCTGTATTTTAAAGAATCCTTATTGAGGTTGCAGGAACAAACCATCCCAATGTGTAGAAAGAATAGTAAATATGGCAGGCAACCAGCTTAGCTTAACAGTGAAATCCTTGCTGATCTTCAACTCAAAAAAGAGCTGATCTTCAACTCAAAAAAGAAGCTTACAAGAAGTGGAAGCTTGGACAAATGACAAGGTGGACAGGGGTGGAGTATGAAAATATTGCCAAGGTATGCAGGAGTGAAATCAGGAACGCCAAATCACACTTGGAGTTGCAGCTAGCAAGGGATGTTAAGAGTAACAAGAAGGGTTTCACCAGGTATGTTAGCAACAAGAAGGTGGTCAAGAAAAGTGTGGGCCCCTAACTGAATGGGGGAGGCAACCTAATGACAGGATGTGGAAAAAGCTAATGTACTCAATGCTTTTTTTGCCTCTGTCTTCATGAACAAGGTCAGCTCCCAGACTACTGCACTGGGCAGCACAGTATGGGGAGGAGGTGAGCAGCCCTCTATGTAGAAAGAAGTGGTTCAGGACTATTTAGAAAAGCTGGACGAGCACAAGCCCATGGGGCCGGATGCACTGCATCCGAGGGTGCTAAAGGAATTGGTGGATGTGATTGCAGAGCCATTGGCCATTATCTTTGAAAGCTCATG